GCCCAGGGACCCAGACCCCATCAGGCAGCCACCGGGATTGACCAGGCAGGCGCCAAAAATCTTAAACTCCCTGACCTGGGAGCCACGACCCAGGCAGACCAAGGCACAAACAAATACGATTCTTGAAATAAAAGGAAATCAATCCCATCATTCTGAAAAAGCTGAGATGTTTTAGTGTTTGATTAAAAAGAAACTTTGCAACTTCTTCATATTTTGAAATCATTTTCTTAAGCCAGTTTTTGGTAATAAATAACCCTTTACGGGTGACTGAAATATCACTCAGACCCCCACCGCCCCCTTGTGGCCAGAATACCTTCAGACTGGGGGACCGCCACCTGTTGGACTTCAGCTGATTTGTTTCATTTAGTGATCAATCACTCCTGTAGACACTAGTGAAGGCTGAGAGACATGTCAGCTGTTAGATTTAAAAATTTTAAACTTTTTGCACAAACAGAGAACAGAAAAACTCAATTTTTCATTACAACCTGTGTAATAATTCCCCCAAAATGTATATTTGAATTCACAATTATTACAAGAAAGATGCAAATAAAAGAGTTACAATATCAATCTAATGGAAATATGAACAATAAGGTAACTGAGTTTTTATTTTTATTTATTTTTTTGCTCTTCTGTAGAAAGCAGCTATCAGCACATTTTTAATTGTTGTTTTGGTGTGAAAACTTCTAGAGAAGAGTCGGTGTGTGTCATTAATTCAGGTGATCTCCGTTCTGTAACACTGGCTCTGTTTACGATGGTACAGGTTGGTAAAGCTGATTATCACACTCTGCTGGCGCTTTTGGCACTTCACCTCCCTCTGATTGTTACACAGAAAGGCTCCCTGAAGCCTGGCTGTAGCCAAAATGATAAATATACATGCATTTACCATCTTCATGAAGCAGAGCAGCGCTAATCCCACCTCCATTCACTTTTCTGCAGTGAGAAAATCCGAGGGCTCAGTTTCTCTGCATTTTTATTCATGCGAGAGGAAGAATGAGGAATCTCATTGGTGATTCTGAAGCAAACATGTCATCCCAGAATGGGGGCGGAAAATTTGGAGCTAATATTCACAATGTTCAAATGATAGCAGGTGGGCTTCAGCCCATGAAAAATCTGAAACCTACACTAATGCTACATTAGCCCCAGCTTTAAATGTTGATTACACATCAGTTAAAGGGACGTTATGGAAGTCTGACAGCCACAACATGGGAGGCGTCCAGGAGGCATCCTGACCAGATGCTCCAGCCATCTTAACTGGCTTCTCTCGATGTGGAGGAGCAGCGGGTCTACTACGAGCCCCTCCTGAATAACCGAGCTTCTCACCCTATCTCTAAGGGAGAGCCCAGCCACTCTTTGGAAAAAACTCATTTCGGCCGCTTGTATCCACAATCTCGTTCTTTCGGTCACTACCCAAAGCTCGTGACCATAGGTGAGGGTAGGAACGTAGATCGACCGGTAAATCGAGAGCTTTGCCTTCCAGCTCAGCTCTCTCTTCACCACGACAGACCGGTACAACGCCCGCATCACTGCAGACGCAGCACCAATCCGCCTATCGATCTCACGCTCCAGTTTTCCCTCACTCGTGAACAAGACCCCGAGATACTTAAACTCCTCCACTTGGAGCAGGACCTCATCCCTGACCCGGAGAAGGCATTCTACCCTTTTTCTTCTCAAGACCACGGCCTCAGATTTAGAGGAACTGACACTCATCCCAGCTGCTTCACGCTCGGCTGCAAACCTTGAGACTAATGTGCAACTGAAGAAATCTGGTTATTATGTAGTATGTCAAAGTAAAGGTAAGTATTCAGGTTGTGAGAACCTAGAGTACAAATACAAAGAAAGTAAACTCTCGTATACTCATCGTCTGCTCTGCTTATCCTTCACTCGGGTCATGGGGAGCTGGTTCCTAACTCCTGAACTTAGGCAAGAAGCAGGAGACAATCTGGACAGGTCTCCAGTCCCTAACAGGGACACACAAAGCCACTCACCTCTAGGGTCAGTTTAGAAACTCCATTTAATCTGACATGCATGTTCTTGTCTGTGGGGGGGTGGGGGGGCTGGAGCACCTGGAGAAAACCCAGGCATGCACTGGGAGAGCATGCCAACTCCATTCAGAAAAGCTGTAGCTGGGATTTGAACCTGTGACCTTGCTGTGAGGCTACCAACTGTGCCACCATGCAGCCCAATGCATGTCTCCTTTTCTATTTTTATAATAATCTAAATTGTCTGTTTGCAAAATTACATAACATTTAATTACTGTTCAAGCAACTCCTGTTGATCCACAGAAATGTTAAAAAAAGCTCTTTTTTCATGTGCAGAAGCACCAAAGTTAGACTCATCTCTCCTAACATCCACATATCAAGCACGTATCCGTCTGTAAATGAACCATTCTGTATGTTTTACGTCTATAAACGACCCCTCATTAACTCTGGAATTATGTTTAGATCACACCAATCTGTCGGAGTCTAAACTGTTTACCCGTAGCTTCTCTCGGGCTCTACGCTGATGCACAAACAAACCCCGACGTATGGCATCCGCCGCTGCGAAGCTCGAGGAATTACAACAGGTTTGTTCAGATCCTCCAGCAGCTGCTGGAGAACTTAGCGGCTCAGGTTCACGGGGCTTCCAGCTGAGAACAGGAAGTCTGACTGGTTTGTTGTTTCGGCTCTTCACCTGAGCACAAACACAGCTTTTAGTCCTGATGTGAATCAACAACGTTCTCGTGAATCAGGCATAATGAAGTCAGCGGCGATGCCTTGTTCTGGTCCTGACAGCCGTCACAGGAAGAGCTAATTATTACTTCAATTTAAAACCAGACAGTTTAGACATGAGTAACCTTCATGCTTCGTCTCGCTCACTTGCTCCATTGCTCTTTGTTCCTGATGAACCTCTTCAGGGCATCTCTGCAAACTAAAGCTAATGCATACCGAAAATGTTGTCACGGTAACTGGTGTAGCGGTAAACCCCGGTAAAAAAGTGGACAATAATAATAACCGTCTTGTTTTTTTTTTAATATATTATCTCGGTGGGTTACCGTGGCTGCGGTGTAGGCGCGGTGACCCTTACCAGCCACCGTATCATCTGCTGAAGTTGCCGGCGGCACATGCGCACTTTGTTGTTTACAACCAAAACTTTCTTGAAGCTAAAGCTGAAATAATGGCCAAAGGAGGAGACGGCAGCGCTCAGGAGGACGTTTATTATCTCTCAAAGAAGACAAAGTGGGAAGTACGGGCATATTTTGGATATTTGAAGAATGCCGAGGGACAGTTGATAGAAGACGGCTATCCTGTTTGCAGCACGAGCAGAAAAAGTGTCTGTGAAAGGCAGCAACGCTTCAAATCTCATGACACATCTGCGTGACCGTCACCCACAACTCTACAGTCAACGCAAGGAGAGCTAACGTTAGCGCTTTAGCTAAAATGCGTGATCCGAGGATTTGGGTTGAGGGAGAATGCAACGAGTCGCTATATAAAGCAGCCGCAGCGCCGCTACCTGCATATAAACCGTGTCGCGGACACCGCCATGTTGAAATGACGCTATGCATTACGGGGCTCCCAGGGGCAGATAAGAGTTGGTCTCTCTCCGAGAATAATTATGAATTTAACAACGATTACTGCCTGATGACATTTTCCCACATCTGCAAAGCTCACTGGAAGGACACAAACCGAGGACGATATTTTCCTGATATAGGGTTTATTACTCAAGTAAGGGTAAAAAAGTATCTGATTAGAAGGCTACTTGAGTACTGAGTATCATCTGATGTAATATTTTTTAAAATGATGACATCAAACAGACAAAAAATAAGAAGTTATGGGCAAATATTGGTATTTTAAAGACTAAAGGGGGAAAATGTAAACAAATAAACAACATAATTACAAAATAACACATTTTAGACAACATTTAGACACAAACTGACGACAATATTTTCCTGACATACAGGGTCTATTTAGTTGTCTGAAAATGTAGCACGTTTAAAAAGAAAAACCACAATAATACCGAAGACCATGATAATTTTGGTCACAATAACCGTGAGGTTAAATTTTCACACTGTGGCAACCCTGCTCTGATCCCATCACGGGATCAGAAATCAGGCCCGATCGTGTGATTTTGGGTGGATGAGATCAAATTTAACCTTATGAAACAACAAGCTTGACCTTTTAAATCCACCCTCAGATAGAGAATTTCAAACAGAACAACCACAGCTTTATTTTTCCTTCAACAAGTTCCTCTAACATCAATATTCAGTGTTTAATGAATGACAACAACACTGTAATTTATGGCAGCTCAGAAATCCAGAAAAGTCTCAGAGTAAAGCTTCTGCTGCTCCAACTTCAACAGGCGAAGGGTGGTTCTATGCTAATGTCCTTATTTGTGACATCACAAATGGGGACTTTTTTAAACGGATCGTTTTCAGGCACATATTGCATAAAACCAAACAGTGACAAAACAATAAAAGAACCAAATGGATAGTTTGGACATGTTTGGAGAGTTTAGCAGTGGAGACATGCATGGCAGCACAAACAAATGCAAAAGGTGAGTTTTGTATAATATGCCACCTTCTAGCATTTGTGATCATCGAGCTGGATGCCAGTCTCACGAAACACACTTACCTCTGTTTTTACATCATAGTGAGAACAATCTGTAAAGTTTTCAGCACTTTGCAGCATGAAGGACCTCATTAAGCGAGTACAAATATTCATGAAAATCCCACAGATTTTCTCCAACCAGTCAGAGGAGTTTTGTTGTCCCAGAACAATTATTCTGTTGTCCGCAGAAACAACAAACAGACCAGAACAGATCGGGGCAGTGGAGAAACGAGCCCTAGAGGCTTCTCAGGTCTGGACCGTCAAACAGGCTCCAGCATCCCATGTTGAAATGATTTTAAGCTTCATGCTTCCTGTATTCATTATATCGCACAACACGTTCACACACAGACATAAAACCCTGAATTCATGTGAGATGTTTGGGTAAAGATGCACATCAGATATGAAGATCATTCTTACCCTCCTTTGTGAAGATCCGCAGATGGAGGCCTTTTATTTGCCGTCCCTTCCTGAAGGACTTTTTTATCCAATGAAAGCAACAGCGGAGCGTCTCGAACAGGAAGCCCTGAAACCAGTGTCTCCTTGGTAACCGAGATGGTCTCATCATTTCGACCCATGTGCTTCTTAGCGTAGTCGAAGCCCTGGACAGGCTGGTGGGCACGTGAAAAACAAAACACGAGTTACTAACAGAAGTCCGACCGAAGAGGCCTTTAGTGTCCTTACTGCGCCACAACAGGCAGCTAAAGACGTTCAGACGAGCAGCCGACAAACTGAAGCACATGCAAGAGTCCTACCGAACATGGAACTGTACATTTTACCAGCCGATGGAACAAAAGACTGGAATTCTACGTGATCAACAACCTGCAGAAAAGATCAATGAGTAGAAAACGCCAGCAAATATGCACAATTACAACGTTCAGGCAACACGTAGCAGAGAGGTTTGAGGATCCATGTGCACCTCAGATTCAGTCAAAAAGGATAAAAAACAAGGTATATGTTTGGGTATGTGTATTATTTTAGAACGTAGAAATCATGAGACTTTTGTTATGCAGAGAAACGAAAACCAGAGCACATTCTGGGGGGGGGGGGGGGGGGGGGGGGAGCAGTGCACTACCAACACTATCTATAGTGGGGACGGTGTGCTGCTGACCTCGACTCGGGACGTTGTGGATTGGTGGGCAGAATACCTCTAAGACCTCCTCAATCCCACCGACACGTCTTCCAGTGAGGAAGCAGAGTCTGGGGACGTTGGGTTGGCCTCTCAAATCTCTGGTGCTGAGGTCACTGAGGTGGTTAAAAAGCTCCTCTGTGGCAAGGCTCCAGGGGTGGATGAGATCTGCCCGGAGTTCCTTAAGGCTCTGGATGTTGTGGGGCTGTGTTGGCTGACGCAGCTCTGCAATATCGCGTGGACATCGTGGGCAGTCCCACTGGACTGGCAGAACGGGGTGGTGGTCCCCTTATTTTAAAAGGGGGACCGCAGAGTGTGTTCCAACTACAGGGGGATCACACTCCTGAGCCTTCCTGGTAAGGTCTATTCAGGGTTCTGGAGGGAAGGGTCCGCTGGATTGTTGAACCTCAGATTCAGGAGGAGCAATGTGGTTTTCGTCCTGGCCGTGGAACACTGGACCAGCTCTATACCCTTAGGGGGATCCTGGAGGGTGCGTGGGAATTTGCCCAACCAGTCTACATGTGTTTTGTGGATTTGGAGAAGGTGTTTGACCGCGTCCCTCGGGGGGCCTGTGGGGGGTACTCCGGGAGTATGGGGTACCAGGCCCTCTGATACGGGCTGTTAGGTCCCTGTATGACCGGTGTCAGAGCTTGGTCCACGTTTCCGGCAGTAAGTCGGGCTCGTTCCCAGTGAGAGTTGGACTCCGCCAAGGCTGCCCTTTATCACCGATTCTGTTCATAACCTTTGTGGACAGGATTTCTAGGTGCAGCCAAGGTGTGGAGGGTATCCGTTTTGGTGGCCTGAGGATCGGGTCTTTGCTTTTTGCAGATGATGTGGTCCTGTTGGCTTCATCAGAACATGATCTTCAGCTCTCACTGGAGCGGTTCACAGCCGAGTGTGAAGCAGCTGGGATGAGAATCAGCTCCTCTAAATCTGAGACCATGGTCTTAATTCGGAAAAGGGTAGAATGCCTTCTCCGGGTCAGGGATGATCTCGGGGTCTTGTTCACGAGTGACAGAAAACTGGAGTGTGAGATCGATAGGCGGATTGGTACTGCGTCTGCATTTATGCGGGCGTTGTACCGGTCTGTCATGGTGAAGAGAGCTGAGTCATAAGGCGAAGCTCTCGGAGTAGACCCGCTGCTCCTCCACATCGAAAGGAGACAGTTGAGGTGGCTCGGGCATCTGGTCAGGATGCCTCCTGGACGCCTCCCTGGTGAGGTTTTCCGGGCACGTCCAAACGGGAGGAGACCTAACGGTAGACCCAGGACACGCTGGAGGGACTATGTCTCTCACCTGACCAGGGAACGCCTTGGGATTCCCCCGGAGGAGCTGGCCCAAGTGGCTGGGGAGAGGGAAGTCTGGGCCTCTCGACTTAGGATACTGCCCCGGCGACCCGATTCCAGATTAGCAGATGAAAATGGATGAATGTGAGATTCTGAGTGCACGTAAGGTTAGGCAGCGTGGGCACTCAGCTGATGGTGTGGTTAATAATTCATCAGTCACACACACACACAATCAATCAATCAATCAAATTTATTTATAAAGCGCTTTTCAAACAAAGTGCTTTACAAAATGACCCCAGATTCCCATAACAGGTTAAAAACATTAACAGAAATATGCAAGCACACACACACACACACACACACACACACACACACACACACACACACACCACTGAGCTGTCGGTGAGCTGCTGAACACGTGGCTGCTGCCGTGGAGGAGACTCGTGGAAGTACATGCTCATTTCTGTAAATCAAACACAAACTCCAAAGAGCCACTCTGCTTTGATGTGAATCAACCAACTGCATCGGTTACCCTCTGAAACGATGCGTGTCAGTTCTTTGTTGTGCGAACGAGAAGGCAAACACTAATTTGTTATTGCGGTGCTCCCAGATTCAGAAACAAGTTAAAGTGCCCATTTTTGACAAATGAAGAAAGGCAGCATGCAAGAAAGGAGGGAAGCAGAAAATGTTTTTCTTCAGGAAACGTTTTGACTGTTCAGCAGACCGTCAGCAGTGTTCCAGATGCATATAAAGTAGGAGTTTCACCACACATTCAGCTCACAAGACCCCGACACACAACAGTGGGGTCACCAGAATGAGACGAGGAGAAATATTTGGAAGATGGGTAAGAAGTTTTGATCCTTTTACAAGAAAATGGCAGATTTCAGCTCCCTCTTCGTCTTTTAGGAATCACAAAGACATTCTGTAAGCGCTGCATCAAGGTCCCGGTGAGAGAGCCCCAACAGGTGACGCTGATGTCACTTGTTAACCTGGACAGTAATCCTGCAAAGCTCTGACTCAAAAATATACCAGCTGCTGTGGATTGGTGAGGCTCCATAGGATTTCTAAACAGGGATCAGGTCAGACTCTTGATTTGAACTTGGAAGCTGAAATCCGGGACTCTCACCACAACCGCTTCCTGACTGAAAGTCAAAGTTCTTCTTGTTTGGTTTGCTCATTATAGACCCTTTTACTACCTACGTCATCAAAAGGTGCGCGCGCAGCCTGGCAACGAGAGTGAAGGCTTCCTCATTCACACTCGATACTAAAACAGCGTTTTAAACCCTTTGTTTTGAAGTTCTGAGCACATAAAAATGCCGGGTTGTTGCGTGTATGGATGCCAGAATCGCTTCTCTTCAAGCAGCGGACTGAAACTTTACAGAATTCCGAAGGGAGCGCATCCATTTCAACTAAATCGGAGGCGTCTGTGGCTGCAGGCCATCAAAAGGGTTGAAGAAAACTGGACTGAAAACACGATCCGAAATGCTCGAGTTTGTAGCGCCCATTTTATATCAGGTAAGGTAATTATGTACTAAGGTTACATATAAATTTATACGCTTTATTTCATGCTTCAAATTAACATTTCATTCTAATTCATCTGTATTTTCCCACTGCGTATTAGTATAAACTGTATTTCTCTAAAATTAACACGATTGTACTCTGAGCACGCTAAAAAAAGAAACCTATGCTATGCTCACCCTGCCATGCAGGTACAGTTGGCTGTGAAGACGTAGTTCTCTGGTTTGTTTACTACGACCCAAGCCTCGTACGTAGCAGTCTTGTGTCCTTGTCTTTGGCTAGGAAGGACTTGTGCCTTCAAGACGCAAAACTCAGAGTCTATGTCGTGATGTTTTACTTTCTGTACGTGGCCACAGACAACATAGTTGTATGCATCTAACCATTTGTATGCCCGTAGCGTCTCACGGGTGTACTTACTGGGCCTCTCCACTAAAAACGTATATATATCGGGCCACTGGATATCTGGCCACGCACCTACATCTTCCACCCATTCCGTAATGCCACAGGGATCCGGGAGTCTGTTGCCATTCGTTAAAGTGAGTTTAATAATATAACATTCAAGATTTGCCGGCGATAACCCCGCAGCGTAGCTTGATAACGCCTGACACAACGCCTTTCTCTGTTGCCAAGCTGCGCGCGCATTCTCGCTGACGTCATATTGTTTACAAACAGTAAAAGGGTCTATTTGCTAGTGAAATTTTTCTATGTCTCGGTGTATTCAGCAGTAAAACCAGTGATAATATTGGTTCCACTTACTGGGACGCGCCGCGACCGGTTTGAATCACCCCCATAGACTATAATGGATTCTATTTGAAGCAGCGACGTTGCACCGCCGTGCAACGCCGCTGACGATGCACATCTTTACCATGGACAGAACTAATCATGACAGATTTGTGTGATTTCATCATGTTTAGACTGTTCTAATTCTTGGGCTGTTGATGCAGATACAACTAAAGCTGCGGCGTGTTGGGAGTAAAGGATTCATCGTTCTGCTTCTGGATGCTGTTCGTGACGACCTGAAGAATCCTGCTGAAGGATGTGACTTTGATGTTTTGTGACTATTACAAACCTTCTTTTTTTTAATCGTCTCTTCTTAATCTAATCCCCCCACCCCCCTCCACTTCCTCACCCACATCTCTTCCTCTTCCCACTAAAAGTGTGTTGACTTAACAAACGGCCGTCTTTCATCTCATCTGAGGAGCCCGTTTACTGAAGCAATCGGCTGCAGGTGGACTTCATGGAGCAACGCGAGCGTCAGTCCGTCATACATGAACTTTCATTTGTTTGGAAAACCGACAGAAGAAGTGCAGAGAGGATAAAACGGGGGGGGGGGGGGGGGGGGGGGTCCCACCACTCCTTTTTACTCAGAGACGTTGTGAAGCAACACTGAACACGACCCCACGGTGCTGCTGAGCCATCTCCCCTCTTCGCCATCAAACAGAAGCTTCTGTTCTTGTCTAATTTTAGCGTCCACCAACAGCAGCCTGATGATGTGCAGCAGATGGACGAGATGTGCTCTATTCCCCCGAGTGGCCATATTGATTCAAAGTCAGCTCTAACAGGGCAGAGAGCACGACTGAACCAGAGTTTTGTGTTAAAATTACAAAAGCACTAGATGCCTTTTAAAAAAGAGTGATGTGCACGTCTGCACGGGGACACGGCGCTTAGATCACACCCTCCTGAGGGACCTGAATGATGCAGCAAAATGCAAAACACCTTCTGTCCCCTGAATGGCAGCTGCTGCATTTCACTTGTACTGAACACCTAACAAATGAAAAATGGATTTGTTTTTACTTTTGCTGATTCCACCTCTATTGTGGTCGAGTGCGGTTCGGCTATCTGAGGCAGCTCGGAGGAAGGAAAGGCATTTAACTTGGACCAAGCATTTTAGGTCACAGATAGGTGTAGCTTAGGGTCTCTGTCTATACACCTTATAAGACAATTTAGGTGATGCCATGTTGTTTTTCTGCTATTGACCTGTTTTCTAATAATGTTGTGTTTAATAAAGTGAAGGAAGGAGAGAAAACGTTCCAGCTGCGCAGCGGATGAATGAAGTCCACCGCGTGATGTGGAATCACTCTTTAACACACTCAAACTGAATATAAGCCACGGTATCGATCAGCAGCTTCTGCTTGTCTCGGACGGTGACGGATAGCTCAGAGAGGTGGGAGAGCTTTGCACGCGCGTGCAAACACGAGGCTCCATACCAACAGCGGATTAAACAGATGAGTCTGCTCCTGACTCCTTTTAGCGTTTAGATGTTTTCATCTCACTCCATTAATGGTTATGATAGACCGTGAGCGGTGTGATCCCATCAGGATGTGGCTTAATGCTCACCAGTGAAAATGGGCGTAATCTACGGTTGACGGACATCTGTCCTTGAATTGGATACCAGCGACTCGACTCTACCACTGACTTGCAACGTTGATGTTTTATCTCCACAAATAACACGAGCCTGGAGGAGTTCTGCTGTGTGGTGGAGTTGCTAACGATAACGGTTAGCTTCTACTAGCTGAGACCTGGACGCTAAGCCAACAACAGCCTTCCCCGTCGTGAGTCAAGATGGGTGAGTCCATGAATGTTAGTGACAGTGTGACGTAGATCTGTCAGGATTTTCTATCCTAGAGTTTCACCGTCTGTTTTCTGTCAGAAGCTAATGCAGGAGATAGGTGTAGGAGACTATCTTCATGTTCAGCCTGCATGAAAAACCAGAGTGACTCACTAGAATCTTACAGTACGTTCATTCTGCGAGTTGCAATGCATAATTCGGATTTTTTGTTTGCATGGCTGTTTAACTTATAACTTAAACGCAACCACCAATCGTAGAGTCCCTTGTGAGCCTCATCCCACAAACATCCCTGGATATAATAACTTATCAGCCTTAAAAGGTTTTATTTTATATTTCAGTGTTAGCACATTGCCACAAGCAGGTCTGCTAAATATTTATCTCATTTGCTTATAGATGCCAGTTCTCTGGTTGGGGAGAGGGTAAACACCAATGTGGTTAAAATACAGAATTGTAGCCTCCCGGCTCCACTTAAAAAACCCCATAGTTCCAGATCCTGTTAATATTTGATGCCCCCTGTTGCAAAAAACAAAACAAGACACATTAAATGTTTACCAACGATTGTGAGAGCAAATGAACCTGGAGCTGGAAAATTTTAAGAGAGAGAGAGCGAGAGAGAGAGAGCGAGAGAGAGAGAGAGAGAGAGAGAGAGAGAGAGAGAGAGAGAGAGAGAGAGAGAGAGAGAGAGAGAGAGAGAGAACTGTTTTCTGGGAGGTTTACACCCTGCTGTGCTCTGAAGTTACACCATCTCCATTACTGACTAAAAATGTCCCACCTCCCCTTCCTTACATCCATCTCTCTGCTCACTTTGCATCTCGAGGGATGAGAAGGAGAACGTCTGAACCAAAATAACTCATCCTCCATCAAAGCAACAAGTGATGGCGTCTTTAAGGAGGCTTTGATATTTAAAGGATTTTATCAGCTGGTTGTTGGTGTCCTGCTTCTAATTCAACCTCGCAGGATTCCTGACGAGCCGCTGTGGGCAGAAGCAGCTTTAACTGCGAAGGTAAAACTGGTTGTTTCCGCTGAAGAATCAGGATCAAATCAATTTGTGTGAATGCTCATAAATAAAATCAGGTGTTAAAGCCTCCCCCTTTTGGAAACCATGTTTATGGCTCGCCTCCGGCCAGCAGGACTCAGCTCATTCGCCTTTAATTGAATCCATCGGCTCGTACCTCAGCAGCTTAAATCTTGGGAAAACTGCTTTTTTTAAACATGCCGTCATTGCCACCAACCCATTCCTCTTATTGATCGCCCGGTGATGAGACGGGTGGGAGTAAGTCATGTCCACGACGACAGAGCATGCAGGAAGCAGATGCAGCAGCAGCAGCAACAACAACAACAACAACAACAGGCAAAATTACAATAAAACTGTACAGCAAAACGTGTATTTTGCTGTTCCACCAAGCAGCTGTTTCATTAAATACCTGGTGGTGGTAACTGCCCTCCCTTCGATATGACGTCTGAACAGGGAAAAAGTCAAAGGGAAAAAGTCACCAAGAGGATAGGAAGGAAGGGGTCGAGGCTGCAATGGTTGTGGGAGGATTCTCGTGTTTCCTTTATCGTTTTCTTCCATAGAAGTAAATTCTCAATAATTAAGATGAAAAAAACACAAGGAGACAGAACCGCTGCTCTTCTACATGTGGTGCCATCTAGTGGTGACTCTGCATAATGCACCCAAGTGACTGTTGATGTTTGGTTTGTGTACGTTGCAGCTGCTTCTTTAAAAGGTAAATCTCAACACTCCTGTTTTGGTTCAGTGGGAGGAAACTGGAGTACCCACACATGCAGCTGGGATTTCAACCTGCAACCATCTTGCTGCGTGGCATCAGTGCTACCAACTGCGCCACCATGAGGCCATAAATCTACATGGATTACAATTTTTTATGAACAGTTCATCCAAATAAAGGGATATTTCAGCCATTTTGAGCAGCGTTTCTTTTAGAAAGCAAAACCAATCGCTGTCTTACCTTTTGTGGCTAGCGTCCTGAACAGCCTTAGCTTAGGGCTATAGATCCACATCCAACAGGTCTGCTCAGCTACAACAAGTCTAATCTCCACTGTTTAAATCCAGTCAGTCAAAACATAACTTTATAAAGATTTATGTTAATTTATGCTAATTTGGTAACAAATGTTATAAGATTCCTGCCAGATCTAACTCTGGATGAACCACTCATAACAATTCCAGGTAAATAATCCCATAATGTATTTATCATTATCGTTCATAACATACTGTTTGCGTGACCTGTTTATAAATCTTTGTGCAGGTCTCAGCTGCAGTACCATGGCAGCGATCCACCTTGGTCAGACTAGCTGTTAGCTCATCAGCCCTGAAGGATGGAAACTCCATTTCTCCAAACAAAGGCCATTCAGGTAGTCATTTAAAAAGGATGAGACGGTAAAAAGGTAGGGCTCAAATGTGCTCAATCAGACCCCCAACCAAGGTTTGGCCAAAAGACGTTTCATCACAGAGTGAAACAATTACTGCAGGTCTAACTAGGATATGAGATGCCACATTCCAATTCTGAATTTTAGCATCCAAGCTCAATGCTTCAGCATAAAAGAGGCTCTTAAGTGCCTCTCCAACAGCAGCTGTTCAGTATCCATGACAACCATCTGACCTGATCTGGTAACAGTTTATTAAAAACACGCTCACAATGACTGAGTGGTTTTCAGGTAACCACTAATAAGCTGAAATGATGGGCCGAACATCGGCCTTAGGGTCCCTTCCACTGCAGCGAGCTGCTCCTCTTTAGCAGATTTGCAGCATGCATGATTAGTAACGACCACGGGCTTCTGGGTAGTGGGAAACAAATGACTGGAGCCTACAGAGATGAAATTCATTTTTCTGACCCACAGGAAAAGCTTGACACAATCAGTTTTCTGTCTGACGTGTCCCTTGTGACGTGGTTATGTAATCTTATCACAACCATGGAGCAGATTAAATCTCTGGGATTGAGTGAAGCTGTGAACGTCTCCGGGTGACAAAAAAAACTGCTAATTTATAGTGGAAACAGTACGTGAGGAAGGAGAAGAAAAATAACAAAAGGTGTAAGAAGGACAAAAGATAAAACCAAAGATTTTTTACCTTGGAGCGGCTTTTGAAGGTCCTGAATGCTCCCGTTTTGAAAATGACCCGGTTCCTCTTACAGACGATGAAGGCCACCATTCCGATCACGACCATCAGTAAGAAGAGAGGCGTCAGAACGGCCATGATCCACAGGTTGCCGGGCGGCGTCTTTACCACAGCTACACACACACACACACACACACACACAAGTCAAATTCTGTGGATTAAACAAAACAAAACAAGCACTGCAGTACAAGGTGTTCCTCAGGGCTGTTTCCCCGGTCCTCTTCTGTTTGATATTCATTGGTATGAAGTATGACTTATTTGCTTAAAAATAGAAATCAGAGTGTGCAGTTTTTATGTTGTTTATATTAATTTATAACAGTTATAAAAATAAATAATAAAAATACATACAGTACAGGCCAAAAGTTTGGACATGCCTTCTCATTCAGTGGGTTTTCTTTATCTTCATGACCATCAAGGCATCAAAACTATGAATGAACACATGTGGAGTTTTGTACTTAACCAAACAATGTGAAATAACTGATGTTACATCCACCAGTTTTGCCGGATGCCTGGAAGGCCCCACCATGTGGTTACAGCTCTGTTTACAGTGGACACATTTCAGCACCTTGGACAGCGCCGTGCTAGCGCCCCGACAGACCGCTGCGAGCTGTTGGAACAGGGGTGGGGAACGTCCGGCCTGAGGGCCGAATACGGCCCGCGAGACCATTTTAACCAGACCGCCAGACCAAAAACCTTTAGAATTTATCAATGAAAATTTGTTTTAGAAAGTTGGGGGGGAAAATGAAATTTTCAGCGATAAAACAGATGGAGTTGTATGTCCGAATTAGGCTCAGATTCAGTGAATGCACCATGAGATGAACGTCATTATGTGACTGAGACAGACGACTAAGCATTAATCATGGCTGCTGTCAAGAAGAGGAAGGTGGACCCAGAATGCTGTGGATTCCAGGAAAAATTGACAAATTATTGTTTTCTTCGTTGAAGTGAAAGGCAAGCCAGTGTGCTTAGTTTGTGGTGATGCGCTGGCAGTAATGAAAAAGGCGAATCTCGAGCGCCATTACACTTCAAAACATGGTAAACTTGCAGAGTTAAAAGGACAAGTGTGCTTGGATTAAATAAGTGCTCTTCATCGGAGTTTGACTGCTCAACAAGCAGCTTTCACACGTCCACAGACTGACAGAGAGAATATTACGCGTGCAAGTTTCGAGGTGAGTGCATTGATAGCAAAGAAGGTGAAACCGCATGCTGAAGGAGAGTTTGTAAAGGAGTGCCTCGTAGCTGCCGCAGAGCCGCTCGTCCCCGACAAGGTGCAATTATTTCAAAGCATCAGTTTGTCTCGAAGAACCATGTCTGACAGGATTGCTGACATGGCACAAGATATTAAAAATACACCGAAGGACACTGCAGGAAACTTTGAGTATTTTTCTTTGGCCCGTGATGAGACGACAGACATCGCTAACACGGCACCAGCTAGCGATTTTTGAAACAGAGGAGGAGTTACTGTCTTTGCAAGCCATGCACGGCACTACTAAAGGTGAAGATTTGTTTCAACAAGTTGTTGTGGCAATGAACAATTTTGAACTGCCATTTAAAAAGCTGAGCGGGATCGCCACTGATGCAGCACCTGCAACGGTTGGAGGTCAGAAAGGACTGACTGCATTGGTAAATGCTGCAGCCAGATTCCTTTCCAATGCAAATAAACGCTGTCACATCACTCCCATTCCGGCTGATCTACACTGGAGTAATCTCCTGTAAAGGAGTTTGGGTCCTCCGATTTGGAGGTGTAAGGATCGTGGTTGTTTTAAAGGAATGTTCTCTCTCTCTCTCTCGTGGGTTTTTAGAGGACACGCTGCGTTTTGAGGCCGTGCCTCCTCCTCCCCTTTGTTTAGCCGTTTTTAGTTCTCTTCAGCTCCTGCGGGTTGATTTATGTTATTGATTAAAAGACTGTTTATTGTTTATTGAATGTTTTGACCCTTCCCCTGAGTTTCAGGGAGATTTTGAGTTCTTTATGTCGCCCGGTGCTGTTGCAGGAGACCATCAGGAAGAGCTTTTAAAACTAAAAGCAGTTGAAATCACCTTAACTGTCTCGCCTTTTGTTACGTTTCAACCCCATACCCTCCTGGACATGAGGGGGTAGTAACAAGTGAATACATGTTTTATATTCTGTTTTCTTCAAAATAGCCAGCCGTTGCTCTGATTACTGCTTTGCACCCTCTTGACATGGTTTTCCAACAGTCTTGAGGGACCACCTCTTGAAGCTCATCAAGATAATGTGAGTTTGATTTGATGCCGTCATCGTCTTCCTCCGCTTATCTGGGTCCGGGTCGCGGGGGCAGCATCCCAACTAGGGAGCTCCAGACCGTCCTCTCCCCGGCCACCTCCACCAGCTCCTCCGGCAGGACCCCAAGGCGTTCCCGGACCAGATTGGAGATGTAACCTCTTCAACGTGTCCTGGGTCGACCCGGGGGCCTCCTGCCGGCAGGACATGCCCGAAACACCTCCCCAGGGAGGCGTCCAGGAGGCATCCTGACCAGATGCCCAAACCGCCTCAACTGACTCCTTTCGGTCCGAAGGAGCAGCGGTTCTACTCAGAGTCCCTCGCGAATGTCCGAGCTCCTCACCCTATCTCTAAGGCTGAGCCCGGCCACCCTACGGAGGAGAATCATTTGGGCCGCTTGTATCCGCGATCTCGTTCTTTCGGTCATTACCCAAAGCTCATGACCATAGGTGAGGATTGGGACGTAGATCGACCGGTAAATCGAGAGCCTGGCTTTCTGGCTCAGCTCCCTCTTCACCACGACAGATCGGTTGAGCGTCCGCATCACTGCAGACGCCGAACCAATCCGCCTGTCGATCTCCCGATCCCTCCTACCCTCACTCGTGAACAAGACCCCGAGATACTTAAACTCCTCCACTTGAGGTAGGACCTCTCCCCCGACCCGGAGTTGATTTGATGCCTTCAGTGAGAATCTACCAAAGTAAAGGGTCATGAAAAAAAGACAACACATTGAATGAGAAGGTGTGTCCAAACTTTGGTTCTGTACTGTATACATATTTACATATTTAGCATTTTGCTTAAATAATGTTAAAATGACCATTTCCTTCTTTATGAAATTGTCTTTTTTTTTTGCTGCCCGTTTTAGAGAATTGTGGAGGATTTTCCCTCACTGCCATTAATATACGGCCTTGTTAGGATATAGAAACCGACGTGTACATGGTAACATTCCGGTATTCCGACGTGTTTTACCTTACCCACGCACATTTTCATGACAGGAAAGTAAAACACTACGCAACCCAAACCATATCCAGTGTTCCTAACTTGGTTATCTACTACATAACTTCATTTTGAGCTTATCAGTCAGTGGCACGTGCTTTCAAAATGAGAGGGAATGTATTTGGTTTCCAACGAGCCCAAACTGAACAAGTTTCACAAGAATATTCTGCTCTGTTCCCAAACTCAGCACCGTCAGCAGGAGCTGTGAAGACTGCTGCTTTGTTTTTGCTCCTGTTTGATTATTCTGCAGGATTAAAGGAAAATATGACATTAAAATGTATTTTCCTTTTTTAGGTGCTATAATAAAACATCGTTCCAGCAAACTCAACAAAGTCTCCTCGACAACGCAGCTCCGAACAAAGCTGGAAAAGGATCTTTGATTCTGATTTTTGAAGCGGAGCCCTGAAGTTAATTGGGTGCACGTTATGGAAATGCATGTAAATTTATGAAAACCGAAATGCTGCTGAATGTCAGAGTAAGCAAAGCCAGCTGTGCTTTGTAGCTAAATCCTGAGGAACACTTAGACTGGAGCAGCTTCAGCACAATGGCTGCTGAATGACAAATGTGTTCAGTGGTATTTAGATCACATGTGGTTGTGCAGACGCCTGAAATAGATTCTGTGTAAATATGCAAAAGAAAAAACACAATTCCACTTACTTCTCCATTTCCTGTGCTAAATATTTAGACTTATCGTCTAAAATGACAACACATGTTGTCTTTACTGACTCTTTTGTAACTCTGTAAGCATTTCATGGATCGATTTTGGCCCCACTATTCTTCTCCTTATATCTCCTACCCCTGGGTGAACTATTCCGTAAACATGACGGGTCATTCCATCAATATGCTGATGATTGCCAGGTCATTTTTCCAATTAAGCGTGGTGGGTTATGCACCATTCAACCTCTGTTGGACTGCCTGGAGGACATCAAGCTATGGTTGGCTCAGAACTTCTTGTGTTTATCGAACACAAGACTGAAGTTATTCTGTTTACACCACCAAAGATCCCAGGAGGTGCCCAAGGGCTTGATTTTTCCACTCTGGCACTGCATCAGAAGGCGGTGGTCACTAACTTAGGGGTAAAACTGGACGCAGAGCTCAGATTTGACGCTCAAGTGAATGGAATCGTGAGATCTTGCTTTATTCATCTACGCCACATAGCGAAAATTAAGCCTTTTCTGTCCCATAGTCATTTGGAAACTGTAATCCATGCCTTTGTTACCTGCAGGCTGGATTATTGTAATTCGCTATATGCGGGGCTTAGGCAAGCTTCAATAGCACGCCTCCAGGCGGTTCAGAACTCTGCAGCTCGGTTGTTAACATCTACCAGGAGGTCTGAACATATTACACCAGTCCTACGTGCCTTGCATTGGCTCCCTGTTCTTTATCCATCAGGTTTAAGGTCATCCTGCTTGTATTTATGGCGTTAAACTCAGGGGCTCCTAAATATCTTTCTGATATCATCCACCAGCATGTCCCGGTGCGTTCCCTTAGGTCAGCTGACCAGAGTTTACTAACTGTGCCTAGGTACAGCCTGAAGTCTCGTGGTAGTCATGCCTTTTCAGTACTTGGACCAAGTCTTTGGAATGAGCTGCCAGCTGGTGTAAAACAGGCCAAGCCATTAGAAACCTTTAAAGGAAGACTAAAGACACAGCTGTTCTCGCTGGCGTTTGGACTTTGAAGTTGGGGGAAGTAGGCCGGATATGGACTGTGAACTTGCACTCAGGTTTTCGTATTGTATTTTAAATGGATTTCTTATTGTATTTTAAACGGATTTATTATTGTATTTTTTTATGGATTTCTTATTGTATTTTAATGGTCATATCTCTGTCCTATTGTGGTGCTTTTTATTGGTGTACAGTGCTTTGTTTGTCCATTTTGGCCATGTGAAAGCGCTCTATAAATAAAGTTGATTTGATTTTTGATGATTTGATAAAAATTCAAAACTCCGTAAAGTCCCTTTAAAAATGGGAATTCACTTTAAAATGCGTTTATTTTTCTCATACATTTAGAATCAGGTAAGGGAAACGCAGATTTGCAGAATACACAAAATTAATTAGTTTAAAACTATTTATGGCTCAAGAAAAAAATATTTGCATTAAAAAATTAGGAAGCAGATTTTTCTGACTAAAACTAGGTCAAAAGAGACGAGTTTGATGAAGAAGAGGTGATTCGTGAACATTAAAGTGACAATATGTAGTTTTTACCATTAATATCTGGAAATATCCATTGAAATGTTGTTGTAAATGAATTAAATGATACCCAGTTGTTGAAAGAAATTGACGGTTTGATAACTTTTGACCATGAAAATCTATTCTAAAATACATGGCAGTAGGTCTAAGTCTATGGGCGACGCCATATTGGGTGCCATGTTTCCTTCTACGGAAGCCCGCGAGGACCGAATGTATTTACTGATTTGTAACAAACGGTTACAGAACTTTCAGCTTTAATAAACGTTTTACACATTTACCTCTTCGATCACTGCCAGTGATGTTCTTTTGATTTAGCTGGAGGTTGCAAACCCAAGGATTTTTGACCCTAACTGGCATCTGTTGGTAAGGTCTTACTTGAACACAAAAATAATGCTTGCTTGCAATGATTTAGGTATATACTGCCCCATATTGCTGAGGAAACTACACACTGTCACTTTAAAGAATAGGAAAAAGGGAAATTATGGACAAAAGGCCATAATATTTAATTGATTGGTTAATTGGTAATTGGTATTACATTGTTTTACCTGCTTATTAAAGTTGGGTTGGGGTTAGGGTGAACTATGGTGAGCCCTCTCTAGGATCTGATTTTAAATCATGGCAACAAGCTTACGTTCAGCCTGAACTTGTACGAAGTACCCCAGAGTCAGAGCCATGGTCTGGGAATCCAGACTGCTGAGGGTCTTCGCAGCGACGGCTCCTGTCATGGGCTCTCCGTTCAGCTGGACGTAGTAGGTCATCTCCGCCGGGTTCTTCGGACCTGAAAGCCGACGCATGCTCACCATCTGGGGGGAGACAGATACACAACACTTCTACTGTCAGCCAAACATGAAATCTAAGGCCACATTAAACACGCTTATCTCTTTGCACCAACAGACTGCTGTATCTGTGGCCCAATCAGAACGACTAATCTCTCTCGCTTTGATCAAGCCGAGCGTTTGCTGCAAGATGAATGCGCTCAGTGAAGACACTCGAGTACAACGGAGTCATTTGAGATCCCAATTTCCTTTCATCACACATCAAACACTTTTCTTGGAGCATCACACGGTTTAATCAAGTCTGGTCATTTGATTCTGTCGTAAAAAGAAAGGATATTCGTTATTAACAGGCTGGAGGTTTTCTCAACCCCCCATGGCCCTGTCAGCTCTCTGTAAGCTTCTCCACCCTGCAGCCATGAAACTGGTCATCTGTGAAGGCCATTAAACCTTGAGGGTGTGTGATGCACGAGGCCGGAGGGGAATCACACATCGTCTTCATTTGCACAATATGGGATGCCAAGCAGAGATGTGACACATGCAGAAAATCACATGCACACAAGTGTCACATTGAGAGCAGCAGGAGTAGGCCCCGAAATGCAGACACCCAGAACGACACGAGGCAGGAGTAGATGGGAATGAAAACATTCCTTTATTAGGAAGGGGAACAAAAAACCCAAAAGGGCAGGAAGCCAACCCTAATATCTAAAACTGAAAAACAAAAAACAAAAGCTCACTTATGAGCAGAGACCTAGAGACCTAGTGGGGGGGAACAAAACAACACTGACAAACATCAATGAACTGACAAAATACTGAGACACAGACAGGGTTTTATACACTGGGGAGGATGAGAGGGAGATGAGCTGCAGGTGTGTGGGGAGAGAAACCAAGTGAAAGCAATTAACTAATCAGGGAGGAAACTAACATGACCTAACAGTAAAACCTAAAGACAAGAAGAGCAGCAAGCAATATTCTAAGGGGGGAGGAAACCCACAAACACCGGTGAGAAAAACACACTAAAGAGACTAATAAAATGAACAGCTGAAACTAAAGGAAAACACTACAGAAAGATAAACCACAGGGGAGTGACTAAGGGGGACCACGGGAGCACTGGACCTGGGAGGGGGATACCTGGGGAGGGAAACCTAGAGGGCTGCGGATCTGGGGACAAATGAGGAACACATGAGGAAGACGAAGACAAGGGCACGTGAGGGCGCTAGGAGACACAAAGGGAGAACCTTGAGACGGGTGGAGAACACAAGGAGACACATGAGGGGAGACGCAGACACAGACCATGACAACAAGCTCATACGATCATTTCATTACGTCCACCACCTCCGCGTGAATCTACAGAAACCAAAACACAAACACGTTCTCCTAACTTGAAACATTTCAACATAAAGTGGTAGCCTGCAGCCTTTGCTCTCACTCCTTTTACCTCTCAAGATCTCAAAACAGCCCCAAGTAAACTCTGCCCAGCTGTCTACACCTGGAGCTGCTCATGCTCACATCTGGTCACTCATATGCAGTAACAGTAGCCCGGTCGGTGCTGTGGGTGACAGCAATAAGTTTGAAACAAACAGGTTCTGCCTGATTTCACACAAACATATTTTATCATTCTGGATATTGTGTCTCCTGAGAGAGGACACCAGGAGGTAACCACATCCTTTATGTAAAACTGGGCAACAGGAACAGCTGCCAGACAGCACAAGTGAACACTATTAGTAAACTACCTGCTGAACCACACAATAAACCTCACGATAAGTTTGTGAAACAACGTTAGCTACTGTCACACAAAACGTGAACTCGTCATGCACGAATAAAAAGGCTGAGTAACACCGTGCTTCGTCATCACTGACCTGCACGGTGTAGCCGCCCACAGTGGTGGCCCGCCGGGATCTGGCGGTCTGAGGGCCCTGCCTGCCCGCTACCAGGAAAAGCTCGGCCAGCCGCTGCTCCATCAGACTAGCAAAGCTCTGGTAGTTGGCCTCCAGAGAGGAGCTGTCTACATCCTGGATCACTGCGAGGAGACACAAAAGCGGGGTTTAGGGAGGAGAAAGAGGAGCAAAAGAATGGATGGACGATGAGTCGAACAGAAGGGGGAGGGAGGAAAAAGAGAATGAAGAAGGATCAGGAGGAGATGAAGGATGAGGTGGCCGGATTATTGTCCCGTCTGATAAAACGCTGCTTAGATGAGTCTTCAGAGACATTCGGATCACTCAGCCTGTCCCTGTCGTACACACACACACACACACACACACACACACACACACACACACACACACACACACACACACACACACACACACACACACACACACACACACACACACACAAAGTGGCATCATTCATGCTGTCCGTGATGTGATGTGATCTCTCCCTCTGTCCCAGCCAGGGAGCTCTGAATTATACATCGGCAGGTTTTCCCAGGAAGGAGCAGCTGAAGCGAGTCGGAGCGTAAACGGCCAGAGAGCCAAAGCCGTACAGGGAAGGAAAAGGCAGAGCCGACTCCATCCTGCTGAGCCGCACAAAGCAGCACCCCATCTGTTCGCTTACCTGTGATCACCCAGAAGTTCCTGGTCACTGCAGACGTGTTCAGATTGTGGTATTCAAGAGCTGGAGACAAAAAATGATTATAGATTAAATAAACGTTTTAATTTTAAACACAAGTTCAACAAAAACATTCTGACCAGACTCTAAATTGTTGTTTTATTAAAAGTGTCCTATTAGACCTCCCTTATGCATGAATATGTTCACCACAGTTGTGATTTTCTAAAGGCTTATCAAAAAAATCTTCATTCATGTAAAATAATTCTAATAAAATAAAGGACTTCATGGATTTTTAAATCTCTCAGAGTTCCTCAGATAAATACTGAATATCGATGGCAATCTACTAAAAAACACTGCTCTATTCAAATGTTCTTTGTTTCAGGATCAAAAACTGAAAGTCACTTTTTTTCTCGTCTCGTGAGGAGCTTTTTACAGATTAGACAGAAAAAGTCAGAATCAGTCTACAGATCGTCCTTCCCGGGTGTCCAAAAGCAGGACAAACACGCCTAAAAAGGTCCTAAAACAGGTTAGAGGGACTTTACGAAGTTTTGAATTTTTATGCTCGTGATTGCCCCCTCAGGCCAAAAGCGTAACGGCAGCTTCAATAATAGGCTCGTGCACGAGGCGCGCATGCTGTACGTGCACACTCCTTAACGAAAATAACAGCTGAGACAGTCCCGTGTGTGTGTGTGTGTGTGTGTGTGTGTGTGTGTGTGTGTGTGTGTGTGTGTGTGTGTGTGTGTGTGTGTGTGTGTGTGTGGCCCGGAGGACAGGAGAACACGCAGCTAATTAATTAAATAATGTGGTTCTGTACCCTTCTCTTCAGCACAGCCGACAAAGGTTTATGATGGGTCAGTCCTCCTGCATGCTCAGATCATTCCCTTCCCTTGCTTGAAAAATTGTTCCAAAATGAAAGTTGAACCCACATCTTTTTATCTGTGAATTCAATGCCGTTCGGCGAGTCTCAAATAAAAATTTGGGCATCTTACTGTAAAAAAATATACCATTAATGTAAAAAATAAACTCTAAATAAACTATGTTCACATCCAGAATCAAACCCAGGACTTCTGCACGAGAGTCTGACATCTTACAAGGTGAGCTACACTCTAGTAACATTCACAGTATCTGTAACATTTATATCCTTGATGACAGCTGAAACAACGTCAAACCAAAGAACGGTTCGGAGTGAAAATGGCTATTTTGTTGCTAATTTGCAGGAAATATCTAGAAGAAAGTTCTACAGAAAGTAGCTAAGGGTCCTCAGAAATGTAGCTAGCTTTGTCACTAGGCGTTAGGAACAGCGACAAAGTGGCACTGCCTCTCTCTCTGCTGCTAAAGCTACGGATAGCAAATGCTACGGGCGATGCCTGAGCGTGAACGCGCATGAAGCAGCCTGCTCGACCCGAGCATCTCTCTTTTTCTGTGATTTTACAGAAAAACAGGCAATCACAGTAAAAATGCCAGGGCTCATTCTACAGGACCAGGGCATTGCAGGAGAATGTATGAAGATGACATTTATTATTTCTATACATGTTTTGGTTGTCAGACTTCCATAATGCCCCTTTAAAAACTCAGTAGGCTGCATGTGTTAGAATAGAATAGAATAGAATAGACTTTATTGATCTCAGTGGGGAAATGCACTTGCTAGAGCAGCACATAGATTTAGAGAAAAGCAAGAAGAAAGTGAAAACAAGATTAAAGGCAGTTATTGTAAACTTCAACCACTAAAAACAACACATTCTCACACCCAAGGCGTCAAAATATGGCGCGTGTGACCAAGCCTCAATATGGCAATTCTGGACGCCCCAGCGCATCAGGAGACGACGATCAGGGACACGCAGGGTCACGTGGCTCCGCTGGCCTCACTGTTTGACGCGCGTGGTCATACGGACATTATTCGACTATTTAACCTTCCCCTCACCCCAATCCTAACCTGAAGGTCCATAAACTGTGACCTTATGGTTAGGATTGGGGTGAGGGGAAGGTTAAGTAGTTCACAAGTAGTTCTAATGTCCGTCTCACCACCGGCGTCGGATACCGACGCTCTGGGATGCTGCGTCAGCTGTTTGTCCCTGATCGTTGTCTGACGCGCTGGGGCGTCCCGAATCATCATATATTGACGCTTGGTCACACGCGTCATAATTTGATGCCTTGGGTGTGAGAATGTGTTGCTAAAAACAGTGAAAAAAAGAAAACTTGGGTTTCCAGAACTATCCAGTATGAAGCTCCACGGCTAAGAAGAGAAATATCCTCAAGAGAAGGAAAATAAAAGGATTTCTAGGAATATTTAGTCCTGGATTTTAAAAAGTATTGTGTTTGAATACAGTTTGGTTTTTTTGTTCAGTTTTGTTGGTTTTGAACATTTTTGAACCATTTTTTAATCAACATTAGATCAATTTCAGGTCTATATTCACTCGCCACAAAACCCAGAAAACAGCCTCTCCAGGTTGTCCTTCAGAGGTCTGCAGTGCCATAGACATGACTACATAGATGCCCCATTGGGCACTGGAGAGCGTAACAGCGTCACCGCCATATTGGGTGGGTCCCTCACTCTCCAAACATGACTGGAGTCAATGTAGGCTGGGCAACTATTCCTGTATTTTGTGCAGCCTACGGTTGCAACAACCGGTGTATTATTGAACACGTGAGATTACTGTTGACTCGCTGTCCCTTGTAGGTTTCTGACTCGCGGGGAACCGGGCTTTCTCAGTTTTAGCTCCCTAACTCTGGAACAAGCTGCCACTCTCAGTCAGGCTGTCTCCGTCCCTGCCGGTTTTTAAGAGTCGTCTCAAAACTCTTTGTTTTGCGTTCCCTGATCATGTCTGAGAATAGCCCTCAGTTGTGTTGCCTTTTCTATGATTTTTTTCCTGTTTTTATTCTGTGTTTTGTCGTGTTTTTGCTGGGCTCGGTCAGTCATCATTCTTAATCCATGTTTTAATTCTTTCATCATGTTTTTATATTATTTTAATTCCTTGTACTGCGTTCTAGTTGTTTTATGTGCTGTGTCCAGCGCCTTCAGCGCCCGTAGAGGGTTGTGGAAGGTGTTTTATAAATAAAGCCATGATTGACTCTTCTAACCTACCTGTTGAGGTTTTATATTTTAATTTGTAATATTGTCTTACATTTATATTTTAACTATCGTGCCATACCATATGTCTGATTTTGTGAAAAAGAATAAAGAAATGTGTTTTTAGTTGATTAATCACCTTCCTCAGTAGAAGTAAATGCACTGGGGCGAATGGGAACCCATCCAAGATGGCGGCTCACTACTACACAAGCTCCAATAGGTGGTGCCAGTCCATAGAGTGTCTATGTATGTGTACCAAGCCCCCACAATGCGGGACAGAAATTGAAGCCAACGCGGAAGTGAAATAAATTGCAGTTCCACCCTCATCCACTGGGGGCTGGTGTGAGAGGCGAGCAAATCCTCATTGACTCCCATGTTAAAAATACCAATTTCACAGCAGAAATAAACATGTTTACAGCCTGGTACCAAAACATGTTTTTGGTTTAAATGATCTAGTTTACACTCATGACAACTCTGAGGGGGGTGAATTGTTTTCTCACTCTTCTGTTTAAGTGTATTAAAAGCCTAAAATTCTGTATAATTAATGAGCATCAGACCCACGTGACCACAGAGCTAGCTCCATGGAAAGGCCTCAGTAGAGCCTCGGTCTGGCCTGGAAACTTCTCCGGGATTTTGAGTCTCTGTGTGTGTGTGTGTATTCTGTTTTGGATATTAGTTGTGCAATTGTTGGACAGAATGACTTGCTGTGGCATTAATTGCACTAATAGAGCGTCCAAGAAGTCTCCACTTGATTTTTTTGGTAAGTAAAATTATATTTATGTAATTTAGGTCACTGCCGAGCTGAGCTTAGATTTTAACATGTACTGTTTACCCTTAAAATTTAAACGTAATGCTGCACTTTAGAAAATGGGTTGAAATATAACATGTTGGTGGAGCTGGGTTCCAACTAACGGCTTGTGGAGCTCTCGGGAGACCGATGTTTTCCACCCGGTTCTCCCTTCCCCACAGCTCGGCGCATCTCTGACTCAGAAGCTCTGGTGTTGTGCACAGTTAACTCCGGTTGTAGCTAGGTTGCTACCTCAGTTAGCTTAGCTCCCACTTCCGCGCTAGCTTTGGGTTAGCCTCAGGTTAGCTTGTAGCTAGTTCGACCGGGTGTCGTCAGTCGATCCCAGACTTACAGCCCCACCCTCAGCTCCACCTCTCTTTCCTTTGTGGAATTGTCTGGGCTTGACGGAACCTGTGACACGGTCAAAACGGCGGTGGTGGCCACCTCCCTTTTTCTTCAAAAATGTGTTATTGGAGCCTATGGAAACCCATTGTCCATATATGTATATGTCGATGATGTGTACAGATCTGCTCTAAGGTCATCAGACACAACCAATCAATCACAACTGAGTTTGGATTTGCTCAGATTATTCAGCACAGTCTCTGCAGGAGTTTCTGGGCTGGGAAAGTTAAGAACGACCGTTTAGCCTCCTTAAACGTTGTTTATGTTTTACAGACCTTTATAGGCATATTAATGCTGAAACACATCTCACAAAACCTTTTCAGGCTTGTTTTTTTCTAGATAAACGTGACTGACCTGTGTGCACCCACCCTACCTGCTGTGCTTGCAGAGACTCACTTCTACTCAGACAGGAGAGAAAAAAACATTGTCAGAAGGAAATTTGTGTTCGGACGGTGAGGAGAGTTGCTGCTGGTGATTTGGGACAGAAAAGGTTCCCATTTCCTCTTTGCTTGATAGAAAATTTCCTGTTGTGTTTGCAGGGGCCATCAAATTTAAACATTCTGTCAAATCAGTCACCACATAGATAAAGTTGAGCCCTGGACCATGAAAATGAAAGCAGGTCTTTTAAATGGCCAGGTCTGACAAAAATCCACAAATTCTTCTTTTATTACCTCGAAAACATTCGGGAGATAAAGAAAACAGACACTGAGTGAGTCTGGTCCTGAAGCTGGGGGAGGGAGCATCCTGAGTGCATATGGCGTTCAGGCGTGTGATGTCATGTTATGCCTCCACATGTTCTCTCTGACCCAC